CTGGTTTTCTTTGTTGAACTGATTCATGTATACGCAGGGCCCTGGTTAACGGACAGGTTTTAATGACTGCAGGGTTCTTGGTTAATTGATGGGCTGACTTGCCTACGCTTTTGATAACAGAATGCAGGGCATCTATATCAGTAGCGGGGCGGTTCATGATAGCAGTTTTTTGTGAACTGAACTGGCTGTACTTTTGTTTATTATTTTCTAGAATCTTCCAGCTATCCTTGACAAATGCCACAAAGTCTCGTCTGATTGAGTAGGTCATCTTTATTGGAATCATTATTTTCTTCAATCCTGATTTTCATCTGCCTTAGGAAACTCTTCAATAGAAACAGAAGTGTTAACCAGGCCATCGGGTTTCCTTCCATTGAAGCCAAGGTATGCTGATAAAGACTAGTAAGAAGTAGCAGATGCATAGTTTGGTGAAAGCATGGAGTTGTGGCCTTAAAAATTTAGAGCTTTAGGATTAGAAACATAGAACCAAATGCCTTATAATTATTTCTTTTTGTATACTTCAAGCATGTAATAGCACCATGTACTTGTAATAAGATAAACCTTGTAAGCAAATTTGTTCCATCTTGACCTTCTAGTTTGAGATTCTTTTCTTTTCCAATCTTTAAACTATTTAAAATCTTGAATGATAATAAGTTGGTTTAAGCATGAGTTTATAATAAGCTACATGATACCTTGAACTTTTATTTGAACTCGAGCGAACGAAATGCACCTGAATGGATTCATATGTCTTTTGAATGGGATTTAAAGAACCTGGTTTAGAACCTTAAATGATGTTTGATTATTTGAATGGACTCGATAAATTTGTAAATGAACGAACTTGTTAGAATCTTTGTTGAATATGGAATGAAGAAGTTTTGAAATGGTTAATGGAACTTTTAATTGAAATTGGATGAAGAACTTTGTTGGAAATTTTGAATAGAATCAATTGGAACTTGAATCTTCCACTTGAAATCGAAAGTGATCTCATGCCTTGAATAACGTTTGAAATGTTGTATTATTTCGCCTTGGTAGCTTGAATTTCAAGAGATAAACCATGGATGGATCTTCCAATTTACATGCTTGATTAATGCACCTCAAACTCAATTGAAACCATAAGTCCAAGTTAACTTGTGAAGAAATCCACATGAACTTCCTTCCAATACTAGCATGAATCAACTCTTGACAAACATGTGCTTGAGAACCTTAACTAATCTTGAGACCATGCCTTATAACCTTTGCATTTACTTATACCTTGCATTACAGGAAATACTTATGACACTTGCACCTTAAGAAACTTGAATGGATACTTCCCTAATCAAATCCTCAATTTCCCATGAAACTTTAACTTGCATTACAAGTAATAACAACTCGAGAGAAAAATAATACCTTGAGGAATCCTTTGAAGATGAATATAGAACTTGAGACATGGGAGGAATAACTACCAAGATAGCCTTAACATGTAAATCCAATGAACCCCAGTTGATGAGTTAACACGCTTAATTACCACTTATAAGAACTACAATTTTCTTGAGATGCGTTGTGATGAAAATGGATTTGTCTCTTACCTTGAGGAAGACATCCTTGCAGCTTGATAAGGAAGAGATCCACAATAAACATGAATCAAAACCCTAAATTCACAATTCAATGTACAAAGAAGAACTAGCAGAATCAGTCTTGTTTGATAAACACCTCGAACCAAAACAAAACCCTAGCTTTATAACCAGTGATCCATTGAACCATGATCCAACAAAACCTGAATTCGTTAACTGAAGAGTGGATGAATGCCATGTAATAGTCATTAAGCCTGATCAAATGATAAGCACACTTATATGAGGAGATGTCTTGATTCAAAGACTATGTATGCTAGGTCCCGCCCTTGAATTCTTGATAAGAAAAACCTGCAACCAGTTGTTCATCAGAAGATAACAGCCTTGTTGCATGACGGAGAAGAAATATTGAACATGAACCAAAACCCTAATTCCACAGTCTTATACACCAAGAAGAACCGGAATAATAAATCTTATTCAACACACACACACACACACCTCAAATTAGCTGTAAACCGTAGCTTCATAACTGCCGATCTTTTGAACTTCAGGTGCTCTATTTTTTATGAAAATGCATGCTATGCACATGATCTACTGGAATGATCCAGATGAATGCAAGGTCTAAACCAGAATAAGAGAAATTAGGAGGGAAAATTGTAGGGTGCAACAACTGCCCATATTTAATCGCCTACAAGCTGGTCGTAAAATTGTTAGCTAGCAGAATGAAGAGTTGTTTGGCTAAGTGTGTTTTTGAGGAGTAATCTGCATTTTTTTAGAATTGTTCTATTTTGGATAATGCAATGATGGCTATTGAGATTATTCATTCTCTCAAACGTAAGATAAGTGGGAATAAAGCTTATATGGCTTTGAAGATTGATATCAGTAAGGCGTATGATAGGGTAGATTGGGGTTTCTTGAGAGGTATGTTGAGGATAATGAGGTTTGCGGATATGTGGATTCATTGGGTTATGATGTGTGTGACCTCTGTAAATTAAACGGTTCTAGTTAATACAGATAGAGTTGGTCCAATTCATCTAGGAAGAGGATTGAGATAAGGGGACCCACTGACACCTTATCTCTTTATTCATATTGCGGAGGGTCTCTCAGATCTTACCAAGGGATCAGTTTCTCGAGGGGACATTCAAGGTGTCCAGATATGCAGAGGGGCACCTAGTGTGTCCCATCTGATTTTTGCTGACGATTTTTTATTTATTTTGTAGGGTTACTGTATCGGAGGCGTTCCACCTTATGGAGTTACTTAAGACTTATGCCATTGCGTCAGGTCAAGAGATCAATCTGACAAAGTCTGAGGTCTTTTTAGCTGTAATCCCAGTATTCCGGCACAGAAGGATATTGCAAAAATTATGGGAGTCTGTCATGTGCTTGGAACGAGTACATATTTGGGGTTTCCCTCGATGATTCGTCGTAGTAAGAAGGAAACATTTTATTTTATCAAGGATTGCATATGGAAAATAATTAATTCTTGGAGTGGTAGATTGTTGTCTAAGGCAGGTAAGAAAGTGATGATAAAATCGGTCTTGCAATCTATATTTTCTTATATCATGAGTGTGTGCATACTTTCAGATGCAGTGGTTAATGACATTGAGAAGATGTTGAACTCTTTTTGGTGGGGCTTGGTAGTAACAATAAAGGGATTCAGTTGATGGCATGGGAGAAGTTATCTTGTTCTAAGAGGGACGAAGGATTGAGTTTTAAGGATTTCAAAGCTTTCAACTTGGCTATGATTGCTAAACAAGGGTGAAAGTTGTTGACCAAGCCTCATTATTTGGTCTCTAGGTTCTTTAAAGCAAGGTATTTTCCTAATTTCTCATTCTTGGATTCTAAGATTGATTCTAACCCGAGTTTTTTATGGAGAAGTCTTTGGAAAGCTAGGGGTGTTTTGCGATTGGGCTGTAGGTGAAGTATTGAAAATGGAAGTAAAATTAAGGTGTACATGAGCCTTGGCTTCGTGGAAGTAAAGAGGTTCGTTTAAGAGGCTCGTATCCTTAAGGTGTGTACAATCTTTATGTTCAAGATCTTATATTTCCTAATTCTTAACAATGGAATATTCAGGTTATTAATTCCTTGTTCGATCATATAGTTGCAAATGAGATTTTGAATGTTCCTTTGGTTGGGGATGTGGATGTTGATGGGCTGGTTTGGAATGAAGAGAAGAGTGATGAGTATAGTGTCCGTACAAGTTATAAAATTTGTATAAATTCTCACGGTTACCATTGTAGGGATGACGGTAATTGGGAGAGTTTGTGGAACAATATGGCTCCGCCTAGAGTTAAACTTCTCCTTTGGTGCATCTGTAGAGGTTGCTTACCGTCGCAGATTAGACTTAGACAACACTATGTTCACTGTCCGTCGGGTTATCCAGTGTGCGAAGTGGATGGGGAAGTCGATTGACATGTGTTCTTTGGTTGTAGTACTATTAATAATTGTTGGCGGGCAGCAAGTTTGTCCTCTATCATTGAGTCCCGTTTATAATCATTTAGTGATGCAAAATCTCTAATTCTCAATATTTGTAGTAGAGAAGATAGAAATGATGCTGGGAGATTTGCTATGACGGTGGAGATGCTTTGGAAGAATCGTAATAACATAGTGTGGAATAATGATCGGGAGGGTCTCTCTAGATTAGGCTTGCAAGCCTATTTTAATTGGCAAGAATGATTCTCTGCCCAGAAAATTCATGAATCAAATAACGGTTATCAGAATTCTTTAGTATGGATTCCGCTGATGGAAGGTTGGGTGAAATGTAATATTGATGCTGGTTTAAATAGGCAATATAAAACTACTAATATGGGTTGGTGTCTTCGAGATAACGTGGGAAGATTCATTATTGCGGGGGTTGCATGTGATATTTGTAGTATGTCCTCTATAGAAGTTGAAGCTTTAGCTCTCAAAGAAGTTGTTCAAAATGCGGTTTCCATAAATCTAGATTATGTGATTTTCGAAAGTGACTCTCAAGTGGTGGTTCAAGGCATCTATTCTAAAGTCATTGGTAGCTCCGAATTTAATTTTATTCTTCTTTCTATTAAACGTTTGTTAGCTTTTATCCCAATTTTTGAAGTTAAATTTATTAAGCGTCAAACGAATATGATTGCTGACTCGTTAATGAACGCGATTAATTCTTGATCTAAGTACAATAACATTAATGTAATTCCTCTTTGTATTGATTTTCATTTGATAAATGATATGAATTAATTTTATTCTTGTAAAAAAAAAAAAACACCTTACCCAACTTTTTAAATTGAGCTGATGGTCATACTTCCATCTTGAGTGCTACATTTATTTGTATAATATATTTATAAATAAACAATTTTCTTAAATATAAAACTATTTAGTGTTTAGACTGATACTACATCTTAGCTATGACTAAAAAGAAATATGAGACCTTTATCATTAAGGTTTATCATTAAAGAGAGTCCATAATATTCTTATCCATTTGTCATGGCCACGGTGATGAAAGAGGCAGATGCAAGTCATAAGTACGATGTTTTTCTGTGTTTTAGAGGGTTAGACACTTACACCTTTGCATGTAATCTGTATTATGCTCTTCGCAACGAGAAAATCAAGACCTTCTTCTTCCCAAAGGAAATTCAAAATCATGATGACCAACTTCAACTTTCACTTTCTGTTATTCAAGAGTCAAAAATTTCAGTTGTTGTTCTCTCTCAAAACTATGCATCCTCCACCCGTTGTCTCGATGAACTCGTCAAAATCATTGAGTGTATGGAATGGAAAAATCAACTTGTTTGGCCAATCTTTTACGACGTCGATCCCTCGGAGGTAAGGCATCAGAAAGGGCGGTTTGGGGAAGGCATGTTGGAGTTAGAAAAAACATATCCTGACAGGATAGTATACTGGAGGGAAGCTTTGAGACAAGTCTCCTCCATTTCTGGATGGAATTACGGAACTGATCAGTATGTACTATACTTTTCTATATGTTACTACTTGTTTGTATATGTATGCTCAAATACAACAATAGATCTTGTGAATTAAAATGATTTATGTATTCATAGGTTTGAATATGAACTCATCGAAAAGATTGTGGAGTCAACGGTACAATCACTGCCCCGCTATGATGTTTTTCTAAGTTTTTGTGGAGAAGATACTCGCTACTCGTTTACTGGATTTCTCTATCATGCTTTGCGTCGTGAGGGATTCAAGATCTTCATGGATGATGAGGGATTGGAGGGTGGGAACCAAATCTCACAAACTCTTCTCAAAGCAATTGGGAAATCAAGGCTTTCAATTGTTGTTTTGTCTGAAAACTATGGATATTCGACATGGTGTCTTGATGAGCTTGTCAAGATTATGGAGTGCAAGAAGGCCAAAAATCAATTGGTTTGGCCAATATTTTACAAAATAGAACAATCAGATGTAATAAATCAAACCAAAAGTTATGGTAAAGCTATGACAGCACATGAAAATGGATTTGGAAAGGATTCCGAGAATGTGCAAAAGTGGAGATCAGCCTTATCAGAAGTTGCCTTATTGAAAGGAGACCATATCAATGAAAATCAGTACGTATTGTGTTAATCCTTTTAATGAGATACTTGTGTCTTGTTAAAGTGTTGTGTTTAGTAAAAGGTGCTGTGCTTTTGTAGGTACGAATATGAATTCATAAAAAAGATAGTGGAAAGAGCCATTGAAGCTGAAAATCATATGTGATACCAATATTTGTGCTTGCACAAATGACAACTAGAAGGATTTGATGAGTTCCTGCAGAAGAAATAAGTCACTATTATAGATTGAATATGGTAACTTAATTTGTATAATGACTTAATGTATTCATCACATTTTCAAGTACTATCAATTGTTAATGTCTCTTGTATATGATTGTGTTTTTCTCTTAGCCATGTTTGATGAAACTAGAACTTGATAGTTGGGCTCATTATAAGATAAAAAGTGACAGAAAAAAACATCAGATATATGTTTGTACATGTACAATTTCATTGCAGGTGTGTTTGGTTGGAGGGATACGGAACATTGTATGTTTGTACTATCAATTGTCATTGGAGAAAGAATGGCTGAGACATTGTAGTATTGTTGAATCACACTCAAATGAGAGTTGCCTGTGGAACCTGTGGTTTCATAGCAACAAGCTGCATATTATGCTACAGGGAATGGAAATTGCTTTAGTCGCAGTTAATCCTTCCCATTGTATTAGAACTTGCCATATATGTGTTTCATTACTGTGTACAATATGATGCTGTAAAACCTTAAGTGGTGGCACAATGTAGCAATGACAAGGGTAAGTCTTGAGAGAAGTGGTCTGCCTTGCATAGTTTTAAGACAGGAACGTGAAATAGGAGGCAGCATTAACTTGTAAGCAACAATCCCTATTTTTTCAATCATTGGAAAGGGACCAAAATACTTCATGCCTGACTTTTGATTTTTACGCAGGGTAATGAGTGTTGTCTATGTGATTGTAGTTTGCCGAGAAGCATAACACCCACCTTGAACTCCAGCAAGTTACGTCCCCGGTCTGCGAACTATTTCATAACAACTTGAGCTTTGAGTAAATAACAGCTTAACTGCTGCAATATTTCCTCTCAGTCAGTAGGTCTTGCACAAAATGAGGATAAATTGTATTTGGTTCTTAAGTAATGACGGCAGGTGGATCACGACCTTAAAAGGAGTCACAGCAATTCTGCTCTGAGAGGTAGTATTGTAACAAGACATGGGATTAAAACTTGTAAAGCACCTCAAATATAGTTCCAAGCATTTGTTCAGAATGTTGAACTGTCTGTCAATTCGAGGATGATAAGAGGAATTCAGCTTGAACAATTTTTGACCAAAAATGACTCTTAAAGACTGTCCCGGTCTGAGACAGTCTTAGGAATACCGTGCAATTTGACCAGTGTTCATAAACGTTTCAGCTACTTCAGAGCTTGAGTAATTAGTTTTTAGGTGCAAAATGAACATATTTTGTTAATCGATCGATAACCAAGAGGATCATAGTGAATCCATGAGATGGGGGGCAGACCTGTGATAAAATCCATAGCCTCATCTTCCCAAATCTGCAGAGGAATTGGGAGCTACTGTAATAAACATGCAGGCAAAGTATTAGAGAAGTTTTCTTGTTGACAAATATGAGCCTTGGTTCCATGAATGCCTGCGTGAATGCCAATAGGGGAGGCATGGAATTCCTTTAAGACTCACGAAATGAACACGCTGGTTTGAAATTACCTGCTGAGCCTTCCAAAACAGCATGTAGCTCTTTTACATAGGCTGACTTCTTTTGCATTGATGGATTGAGCTTTTTGGGGTGCTTAGAGTGATTGAGTATACTTCCAATCCATGATCCAGAGATATATGTTTCTAAGATGAATTCTTGCAAATAAAATCCAGTAGAGTGTAATGGCCATTTTCAAGTTATTGAAAGCTTCTCAACATTCCAAACAAAAGCATGAAGTGTTAAATGAGGTGTATAAGCCACCTAGTCTTCAACTTTATTCCAGAAGGGTTAAAGATGTATAAATAGTGAATGGAAGTGTTAGTGACTCATGTCAGAAATTCTGGCTTGATGCCTTTCTCATTGCATTTGATACTATATATAATAATGTCGGTAATTACAGGTAACTACAATTCATAATGACTAATTACAACTCATAATAACTAATTTCATATTCTATGAATGTAAATTAGTCACAATAAATGCGTTTGATTATTTCCTGATTAACACCCCTTCAAATTGATGCGGCTGGTCAAGGAGCATCAATTTGCTAACAAGAAACTGATGTCGTGGGCGTGGAACAGCCTTGGTAAGAATATCTGCAACCTGCAACTGAGTACTCACGTGAGGAAGTGATATTATTCGATCATCGTAGGCGTCACGTATTGAATGACAATCAACTTCAATATGTTTGGTGCGTTCATGAAAAATGGAATTTGCAACAATGTGAATGACACTTGTATTGTCAGCATAAAGGGAAGTTGGCTCTGTTTGGGGAAATCCAAGTTCAGCCAACAAACCACGAAGCCAAAGTATTTCTGAACAAGCAGCAGACATGACACGATACTCAGATTCAGTAGAAGATTTAGAAACTCTTGCTTGCTTCTTATTTTTCCAAGAGATCAATGAAGAACCAAGAAACATGCACCAACCGGTAACAGATCGACGAGTATCAGGACACCCTGTCCAATCAGCATCACTATAAGCACTCAACTGAAGAGAAATTCCAACGGAAAAGATAATCCGCGGTGAGAGGTTCCCTTTAAGTAGCGAATTATATGACGAGCCGTAGCCAAGTGAATATGACGAGGAGAATGCATGAATCGACTTACTTGTTGAACAACAAAAGATATGTCAGGGCGAGTAATAGTCAAGTAGTTGAGGCTACCCACAAGTTGTCGATACAATAAGGGATCAGGCAAAAGATCACTATCATCACGATGATATTTAACATTAACCTCAAGAGGAGTATCTACCGGATTAGCCGATTCGAGACCGGCCATAGAAATTAAATCTGTAGCATACTTGTGTTGATTGAGAAAGATGTCCTTGGATGTAGAATGAACCTCAAGACCAAGAAAATAATGTAGATTACCCAGATCTTTCATGTGAAATGAGGCTTATAATTGTTGCTTAAGTCGCTGAATGGAAGCAGGATCCGAACCGGTAATAATCATATCATCAACATACAAAAGAAGCAGAACAATACCCGCATATATGCTATGACTAAATAAAGACGAATTATACTGACTCTGAGTAAAGGAGAATACAAGTAGAGTCGAGCGGAATTTCTCGTACCATGCTCTAGGTGCCTGTTTCAAACCATATAAGGAGCGTTTGAGCTTACACACGCCTTTAGATGAAGAGAATAAGCCTTAAGGTGGAGTCATATAAATATCTTCTGTCAGGTCACCATGAAGAAAAGCATTCTTCACATCCATTTGATGTAGAGTCCACCTGTTAGAAGCAGCTATAGAGATGATCGTGCAGACAGTTGTCATTTTGACAACCGGTGCAAATGTCTCATCATAATCAATTCTATATTCCTGCTTGTTTCCTAATGCAACCAAATGAGCCTTGTAACGATTGAGAGACCCATCAGAATTCAATTTCACAAAATACACTGATTTGTAACCTATAGGTTTTACATCAGGAGGGCAAGAGACAATATCTCATGTGAAATTCTCTTGAAGAGCTTGAAGCTCTTCATCCATTGCTTTTATCCATCGCACCTCCTTAACAGCCTGTGAGTAACAAGTAGGAATAAATATGCTAGAGAGTGTGGCAGTCAGAGAAGTACGTGAGGAATAATACATGTCTTATGAATATCTATCTGGTGCGCGAGATATTCAACCAGAACGCCGTGGGTTAGCCGGTACAAGATCAGGTGACAGTTCAGTGTCGGGAAGGGGTGTGGGAACCCGCTGCCTGTGTTTTCTGACATATACATGACCTGGTTTATAACGTTCTATAGATTGAGGCATAATAGAAAGCTTAGGAAGAGTAACTATATCATTAATGGCAGGAGAAACACAGGGAAACATAAACTGATTATCAAAAAATGTCACATTTCTAGAAATATGAAAACGATGGTTAGTGACATCATAACACACAAACCCTTATGAGAGTGACTATATCCCATAAATTCACATTGAACAGATTGTGCTCCAAGCTTATGCCTTTCAGAAGGAGGTAAGGGAACAAAACACACACACCCAAAAGTATGTAAAGCACTATAATCAGGATGGATTTTAAAAAGACGAAAGAAATGAGAATCGAGTTTAATAATCGTAGAAGAAAGACGATTGATCAAGAAGACAGTTGTGGAAAGAGCCTCTACCCAAAATTGGGATGGTACAGAAGCTTGGAGAAGCAATGTGCGTGTTACATCAAGCAAATGACGATTCTTACGTTCTGCCATACCATTTTGTTGAGGGGTATTGGGACAAGATCGTTGCGATAAGATGCCTTTTTTTTAAGGTATTCCTGAAACGTGTGAGACATGTACTCACCACCAGAGTCAGAGCGAAACATTTTCACACTTGCTTGAAATTGAGTTTCAACATATGTCAAAAATTTCTTAAACATAGAAAACACTTCAGATTTAGACCGAAGGAAATATATCCAAACAAAGCGACTATAATCATCAATAAATGTGACAAAATATTTATAGTGAGAATGAGAAACTACAGGAGACATACCCCATACATCATTATGAATCATTTCAAAACAAGTGGAAGCACGATAAGCACCAAACGAAAAATGAATTGTTTTACTCTTAGCCAATTTGCAAACAGAACATGAAATAGAGGCATTAGAAACATTTTTGTTTCCCAACAAACCATTTTTAAATAAATGGGACAAAACAATAGAGTTTGGATGACCTAATTTTCTATGTCAATCCTCAAAAGAGTTTAAAACATTATTACAAACAAGAGATATATGATTAGAAATAAACTGGAGTGAAAACAATCTTCCCACTTTAGGCCCCTTCGCGATCACTTTCCCCGATACCTGCTCCTGCACAAGACAACCATCACGAGAAAAGTTAACATCATAATTTTTATCTACCAATTGACCAACAAATAATAAATTAGACGCAAGTCTAGGCGATACAAGCACGTCCCAAAAATCAGAATTTATGTCTTCAATATCAGTAATAGATAAAGTATTACCATAAGCTATTTGAATTTTCTGATTACCATGATAAGAG